TTCACTGATCACCAGGGGCAGATGCTCAATGCAGGAGCTGCCCCCTGGTGGTCAGTGCACTGCTCAGCCAGAAACCAGCTCCCAGCTGGCTGGCACAGCAGCAGCAGTGGAAGGAGCCTCTCCTATCTCCGCTGCAGGAGGGCAGTAAAAAGCAAGGGGTCCCGGACTGTGAGAGCCCCGGACTGCGAAAGGGGTGTCTGACTGTTGGCTTAGGCCCAATCCCTGTGGGCCAGCAGACAGACATCCCCTGAGGGGTCCCAGACTGCAAGAGGGTGCAGGCCAAGCTGAGGGATCTTCCCACTTCTCTGCCCCTCCCCCCATACATGAATGTCATGCACTGGGCCTCTAGTTCATTGAAAAAAATCACAGAGGTAGAAGAAGTAATTCATAGAAGAAAAGGGCTTAAAAAACAAATTATAGAGGCAAAGGAAGGGCCCTAGGAACTGGGGAGTGAGGAAGGCAATGGTAATGTGCCTGGGAGTAGGGGAGGGAGAGGAATTGGGAAAGACCAAGGGTGTGCTCTGGGGCGGGAGAGCTCCCTGGGTCCTAAATCCTAAAGGTTTTAAGGGTAGAGATTTTAGGGGAGGTCCCAGGGGAAGATGTCCATAGAACACTCAGCAGCTTTCCAGGTGTCCTTTCAGGGTCTGGGTCTCCACTGATTGATTCGTCATTATCCAATGCAACTGGCCCTGAGGGCAGCCATGGCATTGCTTGTCTGGTTTTGCTGCTTTTCTGAGCCTGGAGCTGAAATACAACTGAGACCTAGACGTTAACTCTAGGGAGGAAAGGTGGGGGTTCCAAACCACATGGCCAGTGATATGCTAGGGGAGGAAAGGTGACCCTGGGGCTTTGCTAGGCACTCAGGGCTTTCCATCCTCTGTACCTGGCCCATCCTCCTTGCTCTGCTCGTCTGTCCAACTGCCTAACACAGTTAGTGGCAGGGAGCCTTGTCTTTAGCAACAGTGTGAGTGAACCTGGGAGAGCTCACTCATTAGTGAGGAGGGAGCACCCTGAAAAGTGGGTGTTCAGAGGTGGCCCCCAAGTTTCATAAGGGACACTGAGAACACGGAACTCGTGCATGGAAAGGTGAGCAGGGAGAGGGAGCCTCTCCATGAATCAATGTTGGAGGACCAGGGATGTTTGGTCCATGGAAGTAAAGGCCTCCAGAGAAACATGGCGCCGCCACTGAACAGCTCGAGGCCTGTCGTGCAGAGGAGGAGGAATAACTGTGTGACTGTGGAACACAGTGCTCCCGGGTGACAGAGAGTGAAATTAGTCACAGGAACTGCTTGCTGACAATGATAACTACTTATTTATTTATTTATTTATTTATTTTGTTAATCCTCATTTTTAGAGAGAATAGAAGGGAGGGAGGAAGAGGGGAGAGAGAGAGAGAGAGAGAGAGAGAGAGAGAGAGAGAGAGAGAGAGAGAGATAGATGTGAGAGAGACACATCAACTGGTTGCCTCCAGAACCCATCCCAGCCAGAGGCAGGGACTGAACCCGAAAACCAAGGTATAGGCCCTCGAAAGGGGATTGAACCCAAGGCCCTGGTGCATGGGCCGATGCTTTAACCACTGAGCAACAACTACTTAATACTGGAATAGCTGCTTGTTGAGGCAGGAATTGTCTCCAGCCCAGTCTGGCCAACCTGTCTCAACAGAAATTCTTATTGGGGTTGGGGTCTGGATTGGACAGTCTGTGATGAGCTCCTCTTGTGCTTACCTGCTTGGCACCCACACTTCTCCTCAGAGCACCCTAACATAGCCTTGGTGAAGCACCCAGGTCCCAATCTTTCTGCATGGTTCTACTGGGGCTGACTTTCCCTTTGGCCCATTCAGCACATGTGACTCAAGCCAGACCACTAGGTGTTTGTCAACTCTCCTGGCTGGCTGTCAGCTGATGAATACAGCTGTTGGGAGGGCCATGCAGGGACAACCACGCTGAGGGAGAGACCAGCAGAGAGGGAGCAGAGCCAGGGAGAGAGCTCCAGACTCGGGGGCTGAGGACATACAATAGGTGCCCGGCCCTGGCAGGTCTGAAACCAGTGAACCCAGTGCTACCAGTGCTACCAGTGCTACCTAAGACCATGCATTACCTGTAGCATAAGCAGGTTGGAGCTGAGCTTCCGTCTTTTACAACCTGGAGTCCAGATACAAATGTCACATATATGACCTACTCTACCATTGGTTTATTCCCTGATTTGGCACAAAAAGGCAACATTCATGAGGATCAGAATTGGAGTGCTTTGCTGTGTGCCTTGCATGTTGAGAAAAGCTTGCTGTGCATTATTTTCCACGTGGCTAAGACTATTACCACCACACTGGATGGGTGAGCAAGTGAGGGGGTCTCCCAGGGGCTGTAACAGAAAAGCCAGCAGCTCAAGCCACACCAACAAGGACCCAGTTTGTCCCTGGCTTCATCCTCTGCACTCTCCCCCTGGCCATTCCCAGGAGCCTAGCAAGCATCACCTCATACCTCTGGCTCCTGATCAGCCACTGCCACAAATCACCTGGCCTAGAACTTGGGAGTAAGGGCATTTCCCAGGAGAATCCTTGAACATGCTCATAAGAGTGAGACTAGATACTGGACAGAGAATAGATGCCAACACACTCTCTTGCCACTTGTCCTGTCATGCAGCTGGGCAGCGTTCAGCCCTCCCCAAGTGCAATCCGTGTCATCCTCTCCCACTTTACATTCTACTAGAGGCCTGGTGCATGAAATTTGTGCATCCAGGAGTCCCTCAGCCTGGCCTGCACCCACTCCCAGTCCAGGAGCCCCCAGGAGATGTCAGACTGACAGCTTAGGCCCGCTTTCCACAGGGATCTGGCCTAAGCTGTCCATTGGACATCCTTAGCACTGCCGTGGAGGAGGGAGAGGTTCCCACCACTGCCCCTGCACTCGCTAGCCATGAGCCCAACATTCTGCTACCCCTGTGGGAGTGCAGTGACCACAAGCGGGCAGCTTCTGCATTGAGCATCTGCCCCCTGGTGGTCAGTGCTCATCCTAGCGACCAGTCATTCCATGGTCTGGTCTATTTGCATATTAGCCTTCTATGCCTGCAGGATCAGGCTGAAACCAGCTCCTGATATCCTCCAAGGGGTCCCGGATTGTAAGAGGGCAGAGGTCAGGCTGAGGGACCCCACAGGTGAATGATTGGGGCTGGGGAGGGACATAGGAGGTTGGCTAGCCAGGGAGGGGCTTTGGGAGGGCTCCAGGGCATGTCTGGTCCATCTTGCTCAGTCCCAATCTGCCAAACCCCAGCAGCATCTGCCCCTTGGTGGTTGGTACATGTCATAGTGAGCAGTTGAGCGGCCTTAGCATATCATTAGCATATCATGCTTTGATTGGTTGAACGGATGACCAGGTGACCAGACACTTAGCATATTAGGCTTTTATTATATAGGATTTGCCCCTGGAGCAAGTGGTGGCTGTAGGGTTATCCACAATCCTGGGCCCCAGGCATTAGGCACCTTGGACTAAGCCCTTTGGCCTAAACTTTCCCAAGGAGGTTGTGGATTTGAATCCTCTTTCCAGAACATTCAGAGGTTGTTGGCTCCTCTGTTCAGTACATTAAACGCACCAGATAATCTCCTGGGCCTGGCACATGGATACTGGCACCTGGACATACAGCAGGCAGGTAGGACAGAGGTAATGTATGGATTCTTCAAGTGAAACTGTTCAGACAAAAGCCCCCTGTGGGTGTGAAGTCCACCTGCCTGGCATAAAGAGCTGGGCCTCCTTTCTAAATAATAGGTGCTTGTTCATGTGAGGTGTGGATGGTGAGGGGAGACCCAGGTGGGCTGGAGGTGAAAATAAATGCATTCCTGTGTGCAGTCCCACCATGAAAACTACTGAACAAAACACAGCCTCTGAGATTGGGAGTAAAGAATGCCTTGTCACCATGGTTACCAAAAAATAGACCCACTTATCTATAATAATAAAAGTGTAGTATGCTAATTAGACCGAACAGCTGAACGACTTTCCAGACGTCATTCTGGACGTCCTTTTGGACAAAGCCGCTGCAGTGTGGACTGAGGCAGAGGCTGTTAAGGGCAATCAGGCAGGCAGGCGAGTGGTTAGTGGTGATGAGGCAGTTAGACAGGTGGTAGTTATATAGCCAAAGGGCGCAGAGAGGTGGCAGATTGCAAGGGGGATGTCTGACTGCCAGTTTCAGGCCTAAGTTGGCAGTCGGACATCCCCTGAGGGATCCTGAATTATGAGAGGGTGCAGGCCAGGCTGAGAAACATCCCCCTTCACCCCCCATGCATGAATTTCGAATGGCCTCTAGTATATAACAAAGGCTTTAGCAGATGCCAGGCCATCTGATATTCCAGTTTGAGTCCAAATGAGAGGGTGTCTGGAGTGTCATTCCTTATCTAGTTATGGGTACACAGCTGTGGACCAGGTACAGGGCCAGGCACTAGAAACATCACTCCCATCACTCTGCAAAAGCAAGCCTTTTAGTTTGTGTTGCTGCCTCAGTGTGTGTGTGTGTGTGTGTGTGTGTGTGTGTGTGTGTGTGTTTAGGGGGTCACCCTCGATGCGAGCTATAATGGGCCATCTCCTCATTAGTCTTCATGGTCCTGTCTGGCAGAGAGGTGCCCGAGAAAGAAAAATGAAAAGAGAAGATCCCCTTTCCTTTCCCTTCACTTCCAGGATTCCTAGCTGGAGGTCCTAGAGGGGGACCACCCTCCCTCCCTCCGCCCTTCTGTGGGAGCCCTGGGCCGCTGACCTGTTTCCGGACTCGGGGCGGCGGCATGGTGAGGGGGTTCTGGTGCTGAGGAGGGTCCACTGTGCCTGCTAGGCTCAGGGGAGGAAGGGCTCTGGGGGTGGGATGCCAGGGGGCAGCCCCCAGCGGGAGCAAAACAAGAGCACGCGCACCTGCCGGCCCCGCCCAGCCCCGCGCGCTGGCCAATGGCTGGCCGCGGGCTGGTGGTGGGCGGGACCGGTGGTGGGTGGGGCCTGCGCAGGGCGGGGCCAGAGCCCAGCATCCCGGGAGCAGGAGCCAGAGCCGGTGCGGGGCGCAGCGGCTGAGCCCCGAGTGAGCGAGCGCCGCCTGCGCCGCCGCCCGTCCCGCCGCCGCCGCCGCCGCCGCCGCCGCCGCCCCCCGGCCCCGTCCCCCCGGCCCCGGGGCATGGCCTGTCTGACGGCCGCTTTCTCGGTAGGCACCGCCTTGGTGAGTGAGCGCGTTTTCCGCCCCCGGGGCTGGCGCTGTCCCCCGGGAGAGCCAGAGACACAGAGACCCGCGCCCTCTCACCTTGACCCCTGCCCCCGGGCCGAGGAGGAGGCGCCCGTCCCCCGCCGCCCGCACTCCGGCCGCCCGGCTCTCGGGATGCTCCCTGCACCAGCGGAGGACGCCGGGAGGGCGGAGGAGCGGGGAGCGGGCGGGAGGCGGCGGGCATCCGCGCAGACGGCCTTGACCGCGTCCGCCGGGGCTGGGGGGCACGGGGCCTGCGGACCTGGTGCGCCCCGGGGAGCCGGAGGGGGGCAGCCCGGGCTGGAGAGGGTCCCAGCCGCCGCCGCCTTGCGCGCGCCGGGAGCCGGCACTGCCTCGCACCCGCCTCCCCGGAGCGCCGGGCGAGATCTGGGGGACAAAAGAGGGAGCCGCCTCCCCCCGGAGCAGAGCCGGCGCTGCCCCCGAGCTTCCCGGGGACTGATCGCTGGGACCTGCCGGGGACGGAGCGGCGGGGCCCCGGGCTCCCGGGTGAGGCGGACAGGAGCGAGCCGGGATGCCGGCGCGCCACCTCTCTGCGCCCTCTGGAGAGATGGGTGGGGACGGAGCCGCTCACGGGCCGGCTCCGGAGGGTACCCTCTGAAGGGGGACCCCTCGGTGCGCGGGAATTCATTGCTACGGTCCAGAGGCCCCCCTGGCTGGCTTACAGTAGCTCCTTCAACTCACGTTAGGGCAACACAACCAACCAATAACCACGGACCCACCCATCCTCGGGCTCTCCATTGCTCTGCCAAGTAAGCTAAGCCGGCGTTGCAGTGTGGTCCTTGCGGGCTGAGTTTCAGGTCACCTAACCTGCCGATGATAGAGAATATTGTGTATGTCAGCCCACTTCGCCCTCCCCATCCACCCCTCTCCCTGTCCTCTGTATTTACTATCCTGCCAGGCCCTTCCCATCGGCTGTGAGCCCATGGTGCACAGCGGTTTGCCACCCCCGCCCCTCCCGTCCCCCGCTGCATTTTTAGCATCCTGTATTGAAGTCAGCAGGGCTCAGCGGTGTTTAACCGACAGTTACCTTAAGCTCAAGAAAAAAAAAAAAAAAAAAAGGGAAAAAAAGTAGCCGGGTTTCTGCGCATGCTCTGCTCTGCCAACTGCATCCTGTGATTCCAAACAGGTTACTGTAGAGCACCCGCGCCGGCCAGCTCATTATATAATGATTTCGTGTAAACCGATAGAACGGGGCCGGCGCGGGTGCTGGGGAGGCTGGGGAGGCTGGCGAGGAGCGGAGCCGGCGGCTCCCAGGCCGGTCCCACCAGGCTTGCGTTGCCTGACAGCTGAGAGGGGATGGGAACCGGTCCCTCCTCAGGACATGCGCCTTCATCTGGTTGAGCGTTTGGATCACACTTGGCAGTCCTGCCTTTTCGTTGGCGCCCTGATGAAGAATGAAGGAGCTTATGACTGAGAGTTGTAGGGAACAAAAGTTTCTGGTCTTTTGGGTACCGAGCAGCCCTGGAAGCTCTTTCAAAGCTGCAGAAGTGGCTTATCCACGTGGGAAAAGAATGAATCAGAGCATGTTGGAGTGCAGAGGTTTTTATGTCCAGATCCTTACGTTACGGACCTGGAAAGCAAGTGCTTGGTTCTCACGTGGGGGTGCTCGTGGCTGGGTTCTTGATTTCTTTGTTCCGAGAGAATTTTTTCTTTTCAAATCAATTTGCTCCCTGGAAAAAGTAACCGGGTTTTTTTTTTTTTTGTTTTTTTTTTTTTTTAATAATAATGATAACGATAATAAATTCTACTCAGGACATAAACAGTGAGCCCTGGAGAGCTTCTGGGATCCCGCAGTCTGCTTTCCCCTCACCCTGGCTGGCTCGGGGGGTCCTAGCTCTGGGGGCCAGCCCAGGCAGCCTGGGCCCAGAGGGGCATTTAAAGAGAGTTAGGTAGGCGGGGCCGCCTGGGGAGCGGAGTCCCCGAGCTGGCGGAGGCAAGGGTTCCAATGGGATGGTGGTACTTGGGCCCGTTTGAAGCCGGGTTCTGACTTTGGTGAGGTTGGCATTCTGAGTGACTATGCACGTGGCACCTGCCCTTTGCCATGAAGAGGGTGCTGTTTGGGATATTTTTCCCTCAGGCCGTGTCCTTCAGAATCCTCCTCCGTCCATTTTCCACTAATGTGCTCAGAGTACCGAGGACGGATCTGCCCAGGTGGACACCAAGGCCAGTGATAAGAAACTGGACAGAGGAGTGAGAACCAGTGTGCGCCAGCACCTGGTTCCTGCCAGCTCCTCTTCCCTGCCCTTTCTTCCTCATGATGCTGTGTGTGTGTGTGTGTGT